GAGCCCCTGGCAGGCCTGGCTGCCACCCTGCCTGCACAGCCTGCCCTCCGAGGACACTGGCCCTTTGTTGGAAGATGGCTCGTGGGATCAGCCCTGAGGAGGGGCTCCCTGAGCAGGCCATCCTGGCGCCAGGCGGGACCGGGGCCTTTGCAAACAAGGCCTCCTACTCAGAGGCCTCCAGGGCGGGCCGTGCTGGGCTCTGAGCAGCAGTCCCACCGCAGCGCCCGCTCCCCACCTCCCTGCCCAAGTTTCGCCCCTCACACGGAGACCCTGCCAGCTCTGGACCAGGGCACCACATCTCCTCCTGCCGGAGTGCCTGGACCTGCCTCTGTCGTCCCTCCACGGGCAGAGACAGCCCCAGACATCCCCTCTGTGCATTCTTCTCCCAGAGCCTAGGGGTGACAGAGACCCCTGACCCGAAGCCAGCCCCTCACGGCCCCGGGGCTGTGCCGACCGAGAGGCGGGTCTGGGCTGAGAACACTCCCACCCCTTCTGTGTCGGACACAGGGTAAGTGCTCTGCTTGCAGCATCTTGTGAGAGCCCACCATAACCTGCGGAGGGGGGCGGACAAGAGCGATGGGAAGTGGCCCCCCAAGGCCACCCAGGTAGTCAGCAGGCCCCGGTGTGAGTCCAGCTGTTGACTCAGAGCCCCTGTCCCGCTGTGGTCGCTGCAGCGGTGGAAGGTGTCAGGTGGGAGGTAGAGGCCTTGATGGTCAACTCAGGAATCTGCTCCTCATCCCGCAGGAGGCGGGCCTTGTCCGTGGATTTCACAGGGGAGGGGTGTTCGTTTTAGAATGATCATCCAGAAGCAGTTTGGGCAGAGGGACCAGAGAGGAGCAGGCTTGATAATCCAGCTGGCAGCATGGGGGCACCCCGGGCTCTCTGTTTGGGAAAGAATCCGTGTCTGGGGGGGAGTGAGCCTGGAGGCCACCTCCTCGGACAGCCCCTGTGACTGTGTGCAGTGGGGATGGGAAGGCCTAACCATTTCAGCCCCAGGGGAGCTCCTGTGGCCGGGAGCTCCCTCTGAGGGGGCCCAGGCCTGGGCAGATCTGCGTGGAAGTCTGGACTGTCCCTGCGTCCCTCACAGGCACACCTTTCCCAGGAAACCTGGGCCTCAGCCTCTGCTTCCCAAGCCCCCTGGGACCTCAGCAGCAGTGGTGGGAGGGAGAGCGAGGGGCGGGCAGGGTGGAGCTGCATCGCAGTGCTTCTGCTTACCAACGCACAGCCTGGGACCCCATCAGCCTGTGGGAGCCCCAGTTTCCTCATCTGAACATCGAGTTAATTATCTCGGGAGCTAACAGTCTCTCCCTGGTGGAGTGGTTGTGGGAATTCCATGACTGAATGAAGGCGAAGCCCTCAGCACTGTGCTTAGGTTAGGAATGCGCATAGCTGTTAAGATTTTAGCATTTGATCTGCTTGCAATGAGTAATTTGCTTTAATGTAAGCTCTGAAATCAGGGGCCAGGTTGATCTCACTCTCCAGCAAATCTAGCGCGAAGCTTGACAGAGTGGGTGCTCCATAGAGGTGTGTTAGTCTTCTGCTGCCTCTCCCTGCCTCCCCTGTGCTCTACTCAGAGCAATCTCTGCCCAGCCCCATGTGGTTCCTGGAAGCCAGCAGAGAGAGGCTGATGCATTCACACTGACTTCGTGAAGGCTGGGAGTGTCGTGGGGGACACCCAGAAAGTGCAGCGATCCAATGGGATCCTCTTCTGGGGTCCTTGTCAACTGCCCATGACAGATGTTCTCCTGGACCCCCCACGCCCCACAAATGGAGCCAAGAGATGAAGTCCAAGGCTCCTCCCACCTCAGGCACACAGTCCCAGCGACTGACACTGGCAATGACATTCATGAAAACCCCGTCCTGTGCCCACCCCCAGCCCCTCCTGGAAGGCTTTCCAGGACACAGAACATCACAGCCCACGACAACCACAGCATCTGCTCCTGCCACACGTGGGCACCTGGGAGAGGCTCGCTCAGCAACACCGGTCATCACGCGGCACTGCCTTTGTCCTTCTGTGTCCCTAGGGCGAAGCTCAGCCTGGCGCACAGTAGGTGCTCTGAAGACATGTCTGCTGAGTGAGTCTTGCAAGAGTGGAGAGGAATGTGACGTAGTCCCAGTACTTCTGGTCAAGTGACTGTGGGCAAGGCCCTGTCCCTCAGCCCTGGCTCTCTCCCGTGCACAGTGCAGATCAGAGCTTGCAAACTACTGGCCCAGAGGCTCCCCACCCCAAGTTGTAGAGATGTTGTTTCTGGTTCATTTGGTGTTTAATTTCATTTATAATTAGTTCCCAACATTTAAGCATTGGCTCTGTGAAAACCCTGGATTAGCAGCACCCTGGCTAAGAAGCCACTAGGGCTGAGTAATGGAGAAACTGCTGTTTCTGAGGATGACACAGAGCCAGGTGAGTGCTGAGACCTGCCTGTCCACCTGGGCCACGGTCCCCAGGGCTGGGCATTTTCAGTTGATGGCTCAGCCAGGCACCGTGCCTCTTCCTGATGCCACTGAACCCAGTCAGAAAGAGCTGGCCACACCGCTGAGCCGGTGGGGGAGGGAAGCTCTCCTCTTTCGAAGAAAGTAATGGTGATGCTTGGGTTTCTAAAGATGGTGGAAGGAGTAGCACAAGTGAAGGAAGCCGGTCCTCGGTCCAGGTGCTGGGGACCGGGGGTGGGGGGGAGGGGGAGACATCACACCATCAATGGATCAGCAGTTCTAGCTATCCAGCAACGTCAGACCTCAGCCTGGCCTCCAGGGCCCCCTGTGTTTCCCCCACCTCACCCCCTTCTAAGCCTTTCAGCTCACGGTCAATGTCACAGCTTTTGCTTGAAAGTGGCCTGGGCTAGTTTTGGCTCATTGCCCTCCTCTTCACATCTTTGTGTCGCTGCCCCTCAAATGTGATCCCCCAAGCAGCTATCTCCCCATTCCTGTCTTCCACAGCCCCCTGGCTATTTCCTCGGTGTCTGTCTTGCTGTGCTGCCTATTCAAGGCTTGTTTCCCTTGCCTTTCTCACCCAATAACAAGCTCCTCAGTGACAAGGGAGAAGGCCTTGACATACCTGATCATGGAGTCAGACAGATTCCAAGTGAATGAAGGCAGCTCTGCCCCGGTAGGGCTGCTCATGCTTCAGTGGACGGGGATAAACTGCGGCCTCAGGAGCAGCTTGACAAGCGGTACCACGAGGGTGGGTGAGCTGAGGGCCTGAAACGGATGCGTGGGGTGATTCCTCTCTTCCTCTTTCACATTTACAGTAGGCACTGATACGGGGTAACCTGGGAGATGAACTGGGGGACCCAGTGGGGCAGGGAGTCAGCAGGCTCCCCCTTCAGGTCACAATTGTGAGAAAGGGAGAGGCATTTCCCAGCAAAGAGTGAGGCTCCATCCTGAGCTGACCCGGAGAGCTGGGGCTTCACCGAATGACTGAGTCCTCCTCGACCAGGAATACAGAAAGAGGACAGCGGACCTCCATAAAAGGCCTGAACTAGCATTCTCACATGGCTAGGACACTCTGCTCTGCCCTCATGACGTTGCTCGGGTCAGCATTTTGCTGCCCAACCCGGTCCCAGGAGTTGGTTCAGTCTGGCAGGAAAGCCCAGAGTTGAGCCCAACCCGCTCAAGTCCACCTGCCTCCAAATCTGGCTACCACCCTCGTCTCCAGCCCCTCAGGCTTCTGAGCCCCTGCAACGGAGACCCATTGCTGTCTGAGCCCCACGCCCTGAGCAAAGACTGTTTAGACTCTGCCCATCCCTGGCGGCATAGTCCTTAACAGGTGACAGATTCCTCTCATTCATTTTATCCCTGGAACAGATGGGGAAAAGGCAGAGTAAGGATTATCATCACACCCTTATTCTTATTCTTCAGAGAGAAACAGAGGCCCAGAGCGGTCTGAGAGGACTGGTGCAGGCTGGTGGCGGGGACTGCAGGGTTTCTTTAAACCCTGGACAGTGCTTTCCTCTCTCTGGACCCCAGTTTCCCACCTGGAGGGTACAGAGGCTCTCCTAGGAACCTGGCCTGTTAATCACTTGCTGTGGGCCCCCATGTCTCTCAGGCCTCTGTGGAGTCTACCTCAGCATGTGGGGTCAATCCTGCAACCGGCAGTTCCTCTCACCCAGTTCCCTGTCTCTTCCTGTCTTGCTTTTTCACTTTTCCCTGCACTCCCTATACAGTGACCCCTGTGCAGTCCACAAGAGGTCCATTTTGGGGCGAGTGGGGGTGGGAGGGGGCAGAGGATAAAGAGGCAATGTACAAAGACCCTGAGACCTCAGACCCAGGGAGAAAGTTATGATCTTGGGTGCTGCTGTGAGACAGAGAGGGATGGGAGAGCCGCAGGAAGCGCAGAAAACATGTTCCAGTTTTTCAGGAAGATCTGACCTCTAGAAGCATGTGCGGGCAGGACAAGCCTCTTGGTCACCGTGGGAGCTGTCTCCTCCTGCCACTCCTCACTCTATCGGCCTCTCACCCCACCTTCCTTTGATTGACTCTCAGTGCCACTATTTCCCTTGGTCTATGTCTGCAGGGCCTACGGGGGCGGAGGGGGGCAGGGAAGGGGGACGCCCTACACAAATGTAGACATTTGTTACTGTCAGATAAAAACATACAGATGCTCATATTTTGGAGTTAACCACTTTTTTTAATTTTCTTTTTAAATTTTTTTAACCACGTTTTAACATTTGTTCCCTTTTCTTTAATCTATTGGGACCCTCACAAAATGGAACTGGTCCCCTTTCTTCGCGGTCTTACCTGTCCTCAGGCCCTGGTGAAGTTCAAAGGATTTCAGGCTCTGACGCCCCACCAGTCGGCTGCATTTCTCACCGAAGCCGGCAGGGGTCGCCCGCGGACAGACCAAGAGGGGGCGGGGCGGGGGCGGGGCCACGAGCTTGTGGGACCAATAAAGGCAGCGCGCAGCGGCGCGGGGATTATTCCTCCCGGTTGCGTGTGACCTTCTCGGCCGTTTCCTCCGTTTGCAGCGGGAACATCCCGACCCGACCCCACCGACCCGCGTCGCTATGCTGGCGCTGCGCTGCGGCTCCCACCTGCTCCGCCTGCGCCCGGTCCCGCGCTCCTCGCCGCTGCGCCTCCCCGCGGCCCGCACCTGCAGCGGCGGCGGCGCCCGCGACCCCTCCGCCGCCGCCGGGAACCCGCTGGTGTACCTGGACGTGGGCGCCGACGGGCAGCCGCTCGGCCGCGTGGTGCTGGAGGTGAGGCCAGACCGGACCGCGCTGCACTGCGGGGGGGGGGGGCATCCTCAGGAGGGCCCTGCACCCCGGACCGGCGCTGTGCCCGGCTCTCGGGGTGCCCTGGCCTCCCCCTCCCGGGCTCTGGCCTCAGTTTCCCCACTTCTAGGAAGGGGCGTCGGATCGGCCTCCGCTCTCCTCCGGGAACTTTGGAGAAATGGAGGCGGGAGGCGGGGGGGAGGTATGTGTGAATGGGAGAGCTCAAGGTCAGGTCGTAGACGGTGAGGGCCCGGCCCACTAGTCCGCCCGGGGGGGAGAGAGGGGTTCCCCGGCCGCTCGGTGTCGGAACCTGGACCAGGACTGCGAGGTAGGTAACGGGGGTCCGGATCCCGATGGCCCGGAGGGGGCCGGCCTGGGCGCGCACGTGGCGGCCTTTGCCCCGGGCGAGCTGGGCCGGCCCCGCCCCCACCCGGCCTGCCTTCGGGCTCCCGGGCCTCCAGGCTCTTTGGACACCGGCCACCCCGGTGCTCGGGCTTCTCGGCCAGGGGCTCCGGGTCGGCGGGCTCCCCGCCAGGCTCTGGGAATGAGTGAGGTGGTTAGGAGCACCGCCCGCGCGTGGTGCGGGGCTGGGCAGGCGGCGGGCTCCAGCCACCAGGCGGACCCCGATGCTGAGTCTGGGCAGTGTGCCTGGAGCCCAGTTCCACCCCCAGCCACCCTTCCAGCCAGTTCCTGCTCCTGACTCTTTGGGCCCTTTTTAAAAAATGAAAGCAAGAAGCAAAGTCCTGAAGGTAACAGGGGGCAGGTAGCAGAAGCTCCGTGTGACCTTCAAGCTTGGCCCTATTTTGAGCAAAGGGGGCTCAGGGAAGCCTCAGCTTTCTCTGCTGGAACATGGAGTCTTTTGAAGCTGGGGGACAAGGAGACCCGCTTGGCTGGGGCTCCACCCTCTCCTTTTTCCCACCCCTCTTGCCCCTCTCTGAGCCTCAGTTTCCCATCTGCGCATTGAGCGAAGACTGGCTCCTCCTGGGCCCTGAGGCTGATGCTTTGGGCCCAGCTGTAAGCCCGGGTGGCCCTGTGGTCTCTCCGGACACATTAGGAAACAGAGACTGCCACCTCTCCGCCTTAGATTCAGGAAGCAGCTGGCAGAAATGATAGTTGCTAGGCTGCCTCCTACCCGGCACCGGGAGTAACAGGAATGGAATGGCACGTGTTGATTTCTCAGTCTCCCCGGCCTCTGTGGAGGTTGGGTGTGAGAGGTTCCTTCCTTCAGCTGCCTCAGGACTAACCATCTTCTCTCATCCCTCCTCTCTCCCTACAGCTGAAGGCAGATGTCGTCCCAAAGACAGCAGGTAAGCGAGGGGCAAGGCCAGGGGGGTGGGCTGCCAGGAGGGGTCTGGGCAAGCAGACCCAAGATCAGACGGGAGTTCCGTGTGTGGCTCAGCCACTGTGCCCCTGGGGCCACCTGCTTTCCCTGTGGAAGCTCAGAGTTGGCCCTGCCACCTGACCAGTATCAATAGAGGGCACGTGTACATTTCCCTGGGACAACTTCCTCCCTGGTGGTGCCCAGTGTGACAGGCTGCTGGCTCACAACCTTGAACTCCCTACCCCGCCGGCCTGGTGCTGGAACAGCGAGGATTGTTTGCTGCCACTGAGATGAGAGAGGGAGATAGCATGTCCCAGGTCACAGCCAGAGCAGACTTGGGGCGGGCTAGGGTCTTCCATGCCCTGCTTGCCTGGGGGGCTGGGGGGAGGAGAGGGGAGTTTGAAGGGATGCTGGCTGGAAGGAAGTACCACCCTTGGGGCTGAGCTGAGGCCTGGCCTGCTGACCTGCCTCTCCCTCGCACCCTCAGAGAACTTCCGGGCCCTGTGCACCGGGGAGAAGGGCTTCGGCTACAAAGGCTCCACGTTTCACAGAGTGATTCCGTCCTTCATGTGCCAGGTACTGGGGCCTCGCTGCGCAGGGTCCTCCTCTGTGAGGGGGGATGGGGGCCACTTCACAGCTGTGTTCTGAGGGGTGATGGGGAGCATGTGCCTGGTGCTTGGAAAGTTCCGAGTAGAGGGCAACTGGAATTACTCTTCCTGGCCTCTCCCCCTGTCTGTGCTGCTGCAGGTGGCCCTGCCCTGCTGGTTGGGAAAGTTGGGCCTGTGGAGGGAGCATTGGCATTGGGTATGGACGTGCGTGGGAGGTGGATCTTGAGGCTTAGAGGACTAGTGTGTACAGTCTGAGGTGCCCTGTGTGTCACAAGCCAGGGCACGGGAGAAGAGGAAGAGGAGGAAGGGAGAGCACAAACAGGAGCATGCAGGTCTGGGCTTGGAGCTTCCATTTCCAGAGAAAAGCATCTCTCGGTTGGATGAACGTGTTCTTTAGTCATGTGTCCTGCCCATTTGTCAGAGGCGTCAGTATTGCCGTGTCAGGTTTTAGGGAGCTGTCGACAGCAAGAACTTCCTAGGGGTCAGGACTTATGCTTCCGTGGGGATTGTCCCTCCTAGGGCAGGAGGCTGTGTCCTGAGCCAGCGAGCCCAGAGGCAGGGCATGGAAGTCCCTCCGCCCTGGGGGCCGGAATCATATGGCAGTGAGGGGCAGTGGTTGGAGCTGGGCTTGCTGATGTGGTAAAGTAGCCACAGGAGGGGCAGCGAGGTGGTGGCATGGGACAGGCGTGGCCAGGCCCTGTGGCTTCATGCTTCAGAGGCTCCCAGGAGCTGCGGTGGGTCCTGAGCCAGGCTAGCGTCTTCCTCTGAACAGCGGCATACAAGGCGGGGACGTCCAAAGCTGGAGGCTCTCAGGCTGAGGTGACTGCACCTCGGGGTCCCAGACCAAGGTTGAGAGGCATCCCTCTTTGGGGACACCTTATTGCCATTTGTGGATGCTTCAGCTGGGCTGGCCAGGTTACCCCTGTGACCTGAGAAAATCGCCTCGGGAAAATGGCAGCAAGCCCTAAGGAGGGGGCCCGTCCCTGCAAAGGCACCGGGGAGCCAGGGAAAGACTGGGACAGGGAGGGACTCAGCATGGGAACTGGCTCTGTGCCAGCTGCTGCTCTCCACATTCCAGACCTGGGATCGGGCCCCTGGACACCTCCCTGCTCATCCTCTAAGAGTTGTGGGTAGAAAAGTCTGAGTCAGTAAGAATCTTGTCCTTGGTTGTTAAATCCTTGGAGGGTCATTTAAAAACTTCAGACAAAAAGTGAGTCATTCGGAGATTAGGATAGTTATTGTCAGAATTATTGAAGCTTATTTTCCTTTTGCTTATTTTCCTTATTATTTTGTCAGTCCTTATATAATTGGATGTTTTTGACCCCTTTGCCTAAGGCTTCCAGCGGGTGGGGCTGGTGGGTGTGTTTCCGGGGGGAGGGGTCTCTGGTGAGTGAGGGCTCCCAGCGCTGCAGCAGTGACCCCTGCCGTCTGGCAGCCACTCAGAAGGTGCTCTGTGCTACAGGCTGGCGACTTCACCAACCACAACGGCACAGGGGGCAAGTCCATCTACGGAAGCCGCTTTCCCGATGAGAACTTCACTCTGAAGCACGTGGGGCCAGGTGAGTGGGGGCCGCATTCCTTAGTCCCAGTGCCCAAGCTCTGACCCAGCCTCTGCCGTGCCTGGCAGGCCTGGAGGCTGCAGTGTGACCCCTGACAGCCCTGTCCGATCGCACGCCGTCCTTCAGTGCTCAGTTGGCTGGGTTTGCCTTCTGAGCTCTCCATTTAAAAACTAACTGTCCTTTGGAACTTGGTAAGGGCGAGGGCCTTCTAGCCAAACCCCAGCATTGTATCGTCTCTAAGACCCAAGGTGCTTTGTGAGAAGCCTGGAGTCAGTGGGTCCTGCCTGGCTCTACCTGAGAGCTTCCCAGCCCTCTGCTTCCGCTGGAGGGCGGCCGGAGCTGCTTGTCCTCGGGGCCTGGTCCTCCTCTGGCTCAGGTGACCTTATGTTGTTTGAGCCATCTGCTCTTTGGAGTGACATCCAGGTGAGATGCTTCCCGGGGCAACGAGGCTCACCCCTGCCTGTTTCTCAGGTGTCCTTTCCATGGCAAACGCAGGCCCCAACACCAACGGCTCCCAGTTCTTCATCTGCACCATCAAGACCGACTGGTGAGTTCCTGTTCCTGGCCCCAAGCATGAGGGCAGCCTGGCAGTGGAGGAGGGGCTGTGTGCTTTGGGAGGAAGGTGGTTTGGGGCTGGACTGTCTGCTCTGGGACAATTGCTCTCCCGGGGCTGTGCATCTGTTTGAGAGAAAGAGGAAGTTCCTGAGAGGATTGAGGGAGAATGTGGGTGGTTTTTGCAGCTCTTGCAGTCAGCTGGAATTTTCTCGATGTGTTTTGCACACATGTAAAAAGTACATTTGGGAAGTGCTGCGTAACATATCGGACCCCAACACGGCCTGTCCTAGAAGCTGTCCCCACTGGCCCGGGGTACGCTGTTGTTCCCAGGCTCATCTGGGCCTTGGGGAACCGCTGTGGTAGACGTGTGGGTGTCACCCCGTTTTCATCAGGCATGAGCAGAGGCCTGCAGGCAGCCCAGCCCCTTGGAGCCCCTTTTCCCACGTGCCTGTGGATTTTAGGGGGTCTTCCCAGCAAGGGATGCGTTTCTCTGCCAAAGACCCTTGTGTCCCAGCTCTGGGGCATCTGGGGTGGAGGGGACAACAGCTGGCCAGGGGCTAAGACTTAAATTTCTTTGGACTTTGGGGAGACGTGGGTGAGGGTAGATCCTAGTTGTCTCCAGCCTCCAAGCCAGAAGGGCCTGGTTGTCAGGCTAGGCAAGAGGTGGCTGGCTCCGCCTGCTCTTGGCTCCTCTGTGGAACCCTCACTGGGCTCTGAGGTTCTGCCCGTGGCTGAATGGCCGTGGCCCTGCTGGCGCTGGACAAAGCTGCTCTTTAGATTCTCGGAACTCTGTCAGGTTGAGGACTGCTCAGGACTCAGTCTCACACAGTTGTTACCTTGGCTCTCACCTCATGACTTAAAATAGTCCCATTTACACAGACCTTTTATTCCTTCCGAGTGGCTCAGTATTCTGAGCAGAGCAAGAATAACTCCGTTTTCCTGGGTGAGGATACCAGGCCGGTCACACATGTGGGGCCCTGGAGGGAGGCATCCTTGGCTGTACTCGGGGACTCGGCAAGGCTGGTTAATGCCGGGAGCGATGGGGAGCAGCTCCCCCTTCTCAGTGTGCGCCCCTTTCAGAATGGCTGTTTCTGGTAGATGGTGCCATGAGCAGGTGACCGTGATGTTGGCTGGCATTGCACTGTTCTTGCTTCTGTCCACTTGTCCTCACAGGCTGGATGGCAAACATGTTGTGTTCGGCCACGTCAAAGAGGGCATGGATGTGGTGAAGAAAATAGAATCCTATGGCTCCAAGAGCGGGAAGACGTCCAAGAAGATTGTCATCACGGACTGCGGCCAGTTGAGCTAACCCCGTGGCCGGTGCTGGGCCTGCAGCAGCTGCTCCTGGGTTCTGACGCACCAGGTGGCTGCCTCGGGTTCCGGTGGAGGCCCCGCACATGGCGTGCTTGCTCCATCGCCATGTGCTTGAAGGAGGAGGCATCTCGGACATCAGAGCTCCCTGGGCCCCCAGGCTGCTTCCTCAGTGCCCGCCCTTCAGGACCCTGTCTGGGCCCCCGTTGTGGACATCGTGTCACTACTCATCACTTGACTAGCCCGAGTACACACGTGCCTTGGGACATAGGGGTGGTGGTGATGGGTTCTGATTTCTGCCTTTTCCTTGACCAAGGGGGAAAGCCAGATGCTGGGAAAAAAAAAAAAAAGGCTGTGAATGTCTGTAATGATACCTTCCTAGCAGGAATAATTTAGTTAACACGACTACCTGGAGATGAAGCTGTGACACTAACGACTCCATGCTGTGAGGTGGCCCCGGCCACAGACTTCCAGCGCGTGGCCTCTGGAACGCAGGCAGGGCTTCTCAGAAGGTTCTCATGGTCCAGGCCTGGCCCAGCCCCTGTGGGTCCTGGCAGCCTGCCGCTGTTCCTGAGGAGAGTCCGTGGGGCGGAAGCAGATAGGCCACTGCAAGCTGAGCCTAGCCAATGTGAACCCCTGGGTGGAAGCTGGAAACGGCCCATGAGTGCCGTGGGCTCTGGGAGAAAGTGTATTTCCTGGTGGGCTTTGGTTTGTCTATTTAATAATTTAATCAGTAATTTGAATCTACTGATAATGTGTATAGTAGACTTCAGGGACATATATTTGTGTTATCCTTAAATGTGAAAAATAAACCTTATTTTCTCTAAAGACTGGTGTGTGAGCCGCCTTTACTGAGTTACCCTGTGTCTGCTGCTGTGCTGAGGGCGTTTCCATGGTGTCAGTCATCCCAGCCACCACGAGGGTGTTACTGCCCTCCTCTCACAGGTGAAGGAATGGGCTCAGAGTTCAGCACCCACAGCCTTTCCAGGAGCACTGCTTCCACCCAGCATGCCAGCCGCCCTTGGTGACAGCCTCAGTCCTCAGCTCACAGGGGAACAGGAGCACTAACCACTGTTTGAGGGTCCCATGGTTGCACGCAGAGCGTGGCACATCTTAGCAAGCACTTGGAGAGGCAAGGACGATACTTCCGTGTCAGGATTTTAGAGGAGAAGGCTCAGTCATCTAAGGTTAGGCATGGACTCCACTCTCTGAGACGTGCCATTTACATTTGGAATAGCTTCTAGGTGTTTCTGAATCTACAGGGGAGGCAGGCCAGGGGGTAGAGGAAGACTAAGCATCCCTCATTAGCCAGCTGTGGCACAGTCCACACAGTAGAATAATCACCTTTTATCCATAGTGTGAAAGGAATTGCCTGTGTCAGATTATGTGTGGTCACATGTCCTGATAGTCATCTTGAGGTCAGTGGCTGGATTGGGTCACTGGGCGGATGGGGCTGTGAGTCAGGTTTTGTGGCGTCACAGGTTGACACAGTCCATGGAGTCATGGCTGGATTGGGTCATGTGGTGTCATGGAGAGTTTCCATGAAGTCAGTGCAGCTGCATGGGTCAGCTCAGCCCACCCAGCAGTTTGTAAACAAGGAGAGCCTTAGGGGTCCTCAGCTCCGAGGCAGGTTCTGTCGAAGGCTCCAGAACGCAAAGGCCTCCATCTGCAGGTCACACACATCTGAGGTCACAGCTTCAGTCCCTGCAGTTTCCCCTTGACCCCCAGAAACTAGGGAGGCAGAGGAGCTGTTGACAAGTTTGAGGAGTGCCCCGCCCTTGAGGTGTGACCTGCTGGCGCATGGTGATTTCCGAGGTGGTCTCGGTGTATGGTGTGTCCATCCAGCGGAGCCTGATATATGGGGACAGGGCCAGTGTGCAGGGATTTCCTGAACAGTTTCCTGAAAACAGCCATTTACACAGCTCCCTTCCCAGCACCCTGCACAGGAGTCGGGGCCTCGTCTTATACAAGCAGAAGCCTAAGTAGCACACAGGGAGGACACTGACGCACTGTTGGCGTGAGGTCCCTTAGGCATGAAGGGGCAGTGAGTCATGCACATGCTCTCTGAACACGTGTGTAAATACCTGGAATCACATTTTTCTCAGACATTTCACAATGACTTCATTGCATCGTTTGCTTACAGTAAACTTGACACATTTGAAGTGTATAGTCGATGACTATACACTTAAAATATATACATACACTAAAGAACCACCACTCAAATTATAGGACATTTTCATCTCTCCAGAAAGGGACTTGCCTGGCCCTCCGAGGCAGCTACTGAAGGAGAGATTAATTTTGCCTCCTCTGGGATTTTGTCAATGGAATCACAAGTTTTACTTTCGTGTCTAACTTCCTAGTGTAGCAGGGGTGAGAACGGAGAATTTCATAGCCCCTGGGCTCTGTGGGATGCTGAACTGGGATGAACAATGTCCACCAATGTTTCTCAGGCTCGTAAGGCCTAAGCAAAGCTCCCAGAATCGCAGGGGCTGATGAAGAATGCAGGTCCCCGGGCCACTCCTGACACCTGCTGACTACGAACTTCCTAGGACCCTGAATTTTAAAATAACAAATCTGCTAAAGTGGAACTATGTGTGTATAGGCCAGAGGCAAGATTGAAAGGGAGATCATGGCTCACTGCTCGAGTCATTGTTTACTTCTGGGCACATACCTGCTGGATGCTCTGCGGGTCTGAGGAGACCCTCCACCTAGAAAGATGCCTCACCAGAGGAGTCAGCACTCTGGGATGGAGGCAGCTGTGCCCTCTATAGCCCCGAGGGCAGCTGTCACTGCCTCTGTCGTAGGCCACATGTGAGGGAGGAGTCCCATGGTGGCACTTCAGCTGTTCCTTTGCCATCACGGAGGAGGGTCTGGCTTGGTGGGCCCATGATGGAGAGAATTTCTCAGTGAGTGAGAAATGGGGACCAGAAGTCAGGTTCATGTTCAAAGCCCACTGGAACGGGGTAGGTAGAGAAAGTCTTGGTTCCACTCTGCCCCCCAGATCCGTCTCAGCTTTTAGGATTATGATGGTAGTATTATTATTTATTATTTGTTATTATATTGTAATGGTTAACCTGGCTGGACCACGGGGTACCCAGACATTTAGTCAAATATTATTCTAGTTGTGTGTGAGGGTGTTTGGGGGGAGATTAAAATCTGAAGAAAGCAGGCTGCCCTCCCTAATGTGGGTGGGCTTCACCCAGGCTGTCGGCCAGTGAGGGGAAAAGGGAACCCCTCCTGCCGCTGAGCTGGGATGCAGCTTTCTCTCCTTTGGATTACAACTGAAGCATCAGGTCTTCCTGGGTCCTGAGCCTGCTGACTTTTGGACCTGAAGTTACCCCAGGGGTCCTCCTGGTTCTCAGTCCTCCGGACTTGGACCAGAACTTACACCACTGGTCCTGGCTCTCAACTTGCTGACTGCAGGTCCAGGGACTTCTCAGCCTCCATAATTGCATGAGCCAATTTCTCATAGTAATTTTCTCTCCCTCCCCTCCCCCATATTGGTTCTGTTCCTCTGCAAAACCCTGGCTAATACATATATACTCACTTCTCCTACTTATAAACCAAAATGTACTTGTAAAAATTCAGATGTTACATAAATAAGTCATATAGACAATTAAATTACCTATAGCCCTATGGTATTAGTAATCGGTATGGATATTTGCATTTGCTTAGGATTCAGAAAGCTGCAAAACCTATCATTCCTACCCCAATAAAAAGAGCAGGCTGAATAAGTAATAAAGTCATAACTTCCTTTGAGTTCACCAGAAAGGCAACCTGGCGACATGAGTTCCAAAGAGGGACAAAGCCCTGGAGGAAGAGACAGGACACAAGGAAGGTGCGGCCACAGGACAAGTGGGTGAGATGAAGGTGTCACCACAGGACAAGTGGGTGAGATGAAGTCAGGTAAAGTTTTAATGAATTCCTGAAGGCAGATGAGCTGGTGTGTCCCACGGGTTCACTCACGGTCCAGGCCTCCCCCGGGCTGACTGGATGCTCAGCAGAAAGGCTGGGCATTGGAGAATGGCTGGGCATGGGAGGGGGCCCAGGAGAGCCTGCCCTGGTGCGCAGGCCGTGGCGGTTTCAGCTCCTGGAGAAAGTGAAGCCGCGCTCACTCCCCAGGTGCTTCTCTCCTACAAAGCAAAATCCTTACTCCACTGGGGAGGACCGTGGTCTCTTCTCCCCTGAAAGAAGCAGAAGTTCACGGCAGCTGGGGTCCCGGTAGAATAAAGAACTCTAACCCTTGGGGAGGGGCGAGAGAACATCCAGGGCCCAATAGTCTCCACTGATACCAACCAGTGTCACAGGGGAAAGGGCAAACGCCCACAGAAGACATGCCTAAGACGGAGGCTGGACCAGGACCTCAGCGAGCCTGTCCCCACCACTCTTTCCCATCAATGCCCTTGCACATATGAATTTATTGTGTCTATGAATTCGGATGATACTGTAATTAATCTACCTACACAATTAAATTTCTGTTTGATTTTAAGCGATGTCATCCAGTGCCTGCAAGAAATGAGAGAATCTTTTAGAGTTGTAATGGAAGCTTTGTGGTCACACCATAATTTAAAGGACATGAGTTTGTCATTTTCTTTTGGTAAATAATCAAGCATGCTCAAAATAGTTCATTCCACGCCATAGTCCTTACAGTCATCATCACTGACATTAACAGCCAAGTGCTGCAGCCACGTGGCCTCCCATGGCACACACTTTCCTCATCACTCAATCACAGGTGATAGCATGATAAACTGCAGTGTGACTGCATGCCATACATGACCAGAATTCCATTTCTCTTTGGCAGGTAATTCAGCCTTGCTTCAAGTCCAAGAGCACAGCCAAACAAATCTCTAAATCCCATCTTTATGGGGTTATCTCCAGTGTCAATTCTTTATTGGACGGGTCCAAACAAGATACTGGAACAACACAGTAATTTCAACAGGAGAAGCTCCATATAAAAAATTATTAATCATAGCATATGTTTACCTTCTGAGGGAAAAA